CCTCCTCCCTACTCAGTTCCTGTTGTCTGCAGGCAGCAGCTGACTCTTACTCCTGAGGTTACCACAAGTCAGCTGCCTGCAGATTTCCTCCCAACCCCATGACTGCCTTCCATGATTTTTCACCCTCACCCTCCCAGGAGGATGCTAAAGAAAAGAAAGAACTTTCCTTCCCCACCCTCACCCCAAGCTCACCCTTGCTTGCTTCTTTGACCACAGTCAAATATGACTCTAAATGAGATTTTGCTGGCCCTGCAAATGCACAGGGAAGGTGTCTGCCCCCTGCCCTGGCCCTGGCCCAACCTTCTGAGGCCGTCTTACCTGCTTCCCTACTAGCTGAGCATTGAGGACTTCACAGCATACGGTGGTGTCTTTGGAAACAAGCAGGACAGCACCTTTTCTAACCTGGAGGTAAGAGTCCTCTCCCAGCTGCGGGCCATGGGGGCTGTCCTGTACCACCTCCTCCAGCACAATAAAGAACTGTTCCCTTAGGAATCAGAGATGCTGGGTTTGGGGGTAGAAAGGCCTGAGTGTCAGGGGTCGGGTGTGGGGCATTTTCTTTCTGACCTCAAATGAGACTACTGTATGGGTGTGGGTGTGGCTTTTCCAGAGAGGTTTGAGGGGCTGACTCAGGCCCACTGGTCCCTTGCTAACTCACCCACACCTCTCCTTTGTCCCCAGAATGCCCTGGACTTGGCTCCCTCCTCTCTTGTGCTTCCTGCTGTTGACTGGTATGCAGTCAGCACTCTGACCACTTACCTGCAGGAGAAGCTTGGGGCAAGCCCCTTGCACGTGGACCTGGCCACCCTTCGGGAGCTAAAGCTCAATGCCAGCCTCCCGGCTTTGCTGCTCATCCGCTTGCCCTACACAGCCAGGTATGGCCCAGCCTCCAGCCAAAAGGCTCTGGGCTCAGTCAATGACAACAGTCCTCTGTTCAGAACCTTGAAGCCCTTCCAGAAGGTGCCCTGTATGGCCAGAAGAGACTGGAAGGGCCTCTGGCTGGGGTGGGACTCAGGAATCAGTGCCCTGCACTGAATGAGGCCCATCGGCCCTCCAGACCAGGGACAAGGCTGATGTGGGCTCTGCTGGTAGGGAGCCAACTCAGCCCATTCACATGCATATAGCAGGGACATGAGTGCGACCGTGAAGTGTGGGGGTGGAGGAGAGGCAAGTGATTTCAGGCAGGGCCATGAGGTGAGCAAAGATGTGGAGGGAGCAGTGAGGATGACTCCCAGAGCCCCCAGCTAGAGTGTGCTAGGTGAATGGGGCTAGTGGAGAAAGATGGTGGTATTGAGTGGAGGACACACTAGAGGGGCAAAGGGGATGCGTCTGGGCATGGTGGAGAGCTATTTGGATTGTGGGGGCTCTGATGCTCTGTTTTATCCATAGCTCAGGTCTGATGGCACCGAGGGAAGTCCTCACAGGCAATGGTGAGTAGGGTCAGGGACAGTGCACATTTTCCATCCTTATCCAGCTCTCAGCTCAAGAGAGCTGGTCCATAGCTCCTCAGCTCCTCTTCAACCCCAGGGCAGCTCAACTGGCAGTTGATCAGGGAAATGCTGGCCCTCGGGCCTGATCCCTCTTCAGTTGGGCCCTGCCTGATGAAGATTTTGGGATGTCTGGGGATCCTCCCTGTGGAGCCAGTTTCCACTAAGGCAGCCTGAATCCTATAGTTTGGGTTTAATAGATGGGCAGCATTTGAAAAAACAGTTCTGAAGACATGTCTTCTTTTTGCTATAAAGGACAGTCAGTCATTCACTGTGGAAAGGTTACTGGAAACCTTCTATGAGTGGTTTGAAGTTTCTTTTTCTTTTCTTTTTTTAATATTGTATTGATTTCAGAGAGTGGAAGGGAGAGAGAGAAAGAAACATCAATGATGAAAGTCATTGATCGGCTGCCACCTGCATGCTCCCTGCTGGGGATCGAGCCTGCAACCCAGGCATGTTCCCTGACCCGGAATTGAACCTCGATCTCCTGGATCATAGGTCGATGCTAAACTGCTGAGCCATGCTGGCTGGGCTGAAGTTTCTTGTATTTTTGTCTTTTCTCATTCCCTTTAGTTAGGGCTTGGAGTTAGAGAGTTGACAATTGAGGCCACAGGTGTCCCAGGGGAGGCTGGTGTGTGTGTGTGTGTGTGTGTGTGAGATTAGGATGAGAAGCAGCTGCTGTTAGTGATTCACAATGGAAACTGAAAACACTAGTGAAGACTGATGGGAGCTGACTCTTCAAGGGTCTTAGTGTCCCACCACAGAGGACATGTTAGTTGCTGGGGGTGGGAGGACTTCGCAGTGAAGACATCTGGTGGTTCCCACCTCAATGAGGTGATCTCACTGAGCTCCATCAAGAAAGGGCACTGATGTGGGATGTGGAAGGGCACTACCTTGCCTCTGCTGGCTTCTGCTATGTGAAGTTCAGATGGTTTCTAACAGGTTGTGGGAAGTGTTGCTATAAGTGTCCATCTGTGACTTGGTTCTCTGCTCTCCCTGTTGCCCCTCAGATGAAGTCATTGGACAGGTGCTGAGCATGCTCAAGTCTGAAGATGTCCCGTACACAGCAGCCCTAACAGCCGTCCGCCCTTCCAGGGTATGTGCCCTGCTGCAGGGGCTCTGGGAGGTGTGGGTAGAGGCCACGTGGTGAGTCGGCCTGGAGAGGGTGTGGCTCCAAGTGGCCTCAGTGGGGGCCAGCTTTTCCCCTGGACCAGTGTCAGGAGAGACGAATATGAACTGTAAAGTCCTGCTTATTCCTTCCAGGTGCAGCTTTCCATCTTGCCCTATCAGTCTTACCCTTTGGCATGCTCAGACAGTAATTCCAAGTGTCCCCAGATTGCAGGGACTAGGAATATCACAGAGGCTTAGGGGCCAGCTGGAGAAAGCTTCCTGGAAGAAGGTCCTCTTAGTTTGACCGGTGGAACTACAGATGGTGAAAAGGGACAGTGAGGGCAGGCCACTTGGTTTGGGGCCTACTCCCAGGGCCATTGAGAGAAGGCTTGTGGGCTGTTTCTGCAGGTGGCCCGCGATGTAGCCATGGTGGCTGGGGGTCTAGGTCGCCAGCTGCTGCAAACACAGCCAAAACAGTTGGTGTCGGTTGTGATCCACCCCCCTGTGAGTTATAATGATACTGCTCCCAGGATCCTGTTCTGGGCCCAGAACTTCTCAGTGGCATATAGGGACCGCTGGGAAGACCTGACTCCCAGAACCTTTGGGGTCCAGTATCTCAACCTGACTGGCTCCTTCTGGAATGACTCCGTTGCCAGGTAAGGGCAAAATACCTGTCACTTCAGGTGGGTATATGCGTTGGGGTTGTGTGTTCACCATGGGAACACTGATGGTATCATGGGGTGGGGCTATTAGAGGGTCCCTTGGTGTGGGGGTTACTCAGAGTTCTGCTTCCCCATGCGTTCTAGTCCTTGACTGGGACCTTGGTTGTTATTACTTCCCAGTCACCTGGGAACCTGACGCCTCCCCCTTGAGCAACGTCAAGGTGACTGCACTATGGTGCATACCATGCCCGAGCAAGTTCTGGGGCTTCCATACCCTCCCCATGTGGTGAGAGAGACCGCCCTTACTCCCAAAGCCCAACCTGGGCACCTAAATGACCTCAAGGGGGAGCTAAAAGGAGGAGGGGCAGTGGATTCAAGGGAGCCAGAGGAAGAAGGAGCCCTCAGTTGGAGGTAGGGGACCTACATGCTGGTTCCTCACCTAGAATGTGACAGGGTCTCAGTTTTCCCATCTGTCAAGTGGGGGCATTGCCTCTTAAGGTGGCTGCAAGGAACCAGGCAGCTTAGGTAGGAGCAGACTTGAGCAACTTGATCTAAGATGCTCTAGGCCCTTTCAGAGCCTAACACCTTGCCTCTTACTCTGGTCCTACAGGCTTGCGCTGACCTATGAACAACTCTTTGATGCCACAGTGACATTTAAGTGAGTCCGAGGTGTGGTTAAGGTGTGGGTGGTCTGGCATGGCTCTGGCTTCCTCAGCTACCTGACACCCCTGTGGTCTCCCCCAGGTTCACTCTGGTGAACCGCTTCTATCCAGTGTCAGCCCGGCACTGGTTTACCATGGAGCGCCTCGAAATCCACAGCAATGGCTCTGTAGTCTACTTCAATGTCTCCCAGATCACAGGGCCCAGCATCTACTCCTTCCACTGCCAGTATGTCAGCAGTCTTAGCAATAAGGGCAGTCTCCTTGTGCCCAACACTCAGCCCTCTCTCTGGCAGATGACTCTTCAGGACTTCCAGGTAGGGAGCAGGGAGGAGCCCAGGCTAGAGGTAGCAGGTCCTGGGAGAGGGGAGGGAGCAGAGGCCTGAAGCCTTAGTACCCTTTGGTCTTGGGCTCAGGAATGTGGTAAAAAGTCATGTCCTCATGGTGCTCCCATCCCATGAGATTTGGACCACCCACTAACTTGGGAACCTCAGCCCTTACTGGGCCTCCCTCTGTGTGGGGCTGCATGGTCCTTTCTGTCCCCCAGATCCAGGCCTTCAATGTGACAGGCGAGCAGTTCTCCTACGCCAGTGACTGTGCCGGCTTCTTCTCCCCGGGCATCTGGATGGGGCTGCTCACCTCCTTGTTCATGCTTTTCATCTTCACCTACGGCCTGCACATGATCCTCAGCCTCAAGACCATGGACCGCTTTGATGACCACAAGGGCCCCACCATTACTTTGACCCAGATTGTGTGACCTTGTGCCCACTGGGGATTAAGGGTGTGATGGTGTCCAGGTTGTTGCTTTTTCACCTAAGGCATGCTGGACTGAAGGACTTCCTTCTCTTCCTACCATAGCATGAACCCCCAACTCCCCTCAGCCTGTCTTGCTCCTTTTCAACCCTCTGAGGGGCTGCCCTGGGGCTGCCCACCCCGCATCTCTATCAACAGGTGTACATATTCTGCATAGATAGTATACAAATCTCCCAGGCTTTATGATTGTGAGGGGAGGGGACATGAATTCTAGAACCCCTTCCTCCTCCCTGTTTCTCCTTATTTATTTTCATATCTCCACCTTCATCCCTTGCTGTTTATAGTGCTTTTGTGTAGTCAGTGCTTCATCCCTAGGCTTTAGGGGGCTCCCTGTAGCAGCCAGGAGCTGGAGGTTCCCTGGGCTGGGGGGGGGAGGGGGGTTTGGAAGTACTGTTTAACTGTCTGTCCCGCTTGGCTGGTGGTGTTTTTGGCGATGTGCTAACAATAAGCAGTACACTGGGGTTTATTTCTGTGTCCTGAGAAGGAAGGGACCTCCACGGCAGGTGGGCTGGGTGTGCTCACTGGGTTCCTGGTAGTTCCTGCCAGGAATGCCTGGCAGGAGCCTGGGGTGCTCGATGGGTTTCCTTCCTAACAAAATAAAGATGGGTCACCATGCCTTGGCCTCTTGTCACTGATTTCTGCACTGGATATGAGGGATCCACTTGACTGAAGGCTTCCAGAGAGGTGCCCAGGTATAGCTGTAGCCAAGGCAGGCCAACGGGGAGGCAGGAAGGCCTGTAGGGGTCCTGCGGACTGCCTCAGGGAGCCAGGAGAGAGCCAGAGGGTCTCTAGCAAGCTGGACCCCTAAGTGACTAGTTTAGGGAGGGGGCTGCAGTGCGCAGGCAAGAAAGGCCAGGGCGGTCAGCGCCTGGGGATGACAATGGCAGCCCTCACGTCCTTTTGGGGCCACCCTAGGCTGCCGCAGGGGCAAGCGCCTGGCCCTTGGGGCGGTGCTGAGCATCCCAAAGGGCGGGGCGGGCTCGGCTGCTCCCGCGCAC